TCCTTCTCTACTACTGTTCCTCCTTCGTCACTTATGAATCTTTTATTTTCATTCGGAGCAGCGGAGAATCATGCAAATAAATAATCATAAAATTATGGGGTGCTATGCATGCATCAATTATGTCAATCTGATTTTGAGAACTGTGACATAATTATCCACAAAAGCAATCATCAGAACAAGAACAATGCAAGAGGCATGACTGACTGACTGGAACAATGATAAGGTCAAATGAATGAGGGAAGAATGAGAACTCATAATAGTCTCAGAAAGTACATACGGAAGAGAGCATGGCCAGCACCAATCAAGAGTCCTCACTCAACCCTCAGAACTTCACTCTTCATCTGTCACTTTGTTGCCTGTCGTCTGGGCCTCTTGCCATGTCTTCGTACTCTCTGAGGTTGTGGCTTTTGAATGTAAAGCCACCTGAAGCCCACTAGTTCCAAACACTTCCAGCCAAGTCCCATGATACGAAAGTCAAGCATGGCACAAAATTCCTCCCATAGTGTGGGGAGATATGGCTGAGAGAAAACGCCCCTCCTGAGATGCGGAAACTCGGAGGGTTCTGTCACCGCCTCGTAGTCAATCTCTGCTGGCGACACGTATCTCTTGGCCAAGTCCACCAGTCCACCCCAGTAAGAGTCGTCCGTAAGATAGTATGGGACCGGTGGTTTGGGATAGTCAGCGAAAAGCTTAGGGCCAAAGCTATAGACTAGCTTTGTGTTCCCCTGGAGCCTCTCAGCTTTCCACTACACATACCCGACTGCTGCTGCCCACACTGCATCAAAATGAGGGTGTGTCTCGTTCCCCTTCTTCAGGAAGATCCATAGGTCGCTGACCGTACCTTCAGCGAACTCAGTGAGAACGATGAAAATAGACAGGTCTTCACGCTTGAACCCATCAATCCTGACGTACTTGTAAGGAAAACTCTCTCTGGCGGCAATCGAATTGAGGTTGTGAAGGACCTGATGGTCAACTGTAATGGGGTTGATATCTCTCATTTATTGGTAAATAGTTACTCTTGATAAAAGGTAAAGAGACTGTGCTTAACTGACAGAAATCCGTTGCAGGCCGAATCAGACGGTGTCCACTAAACAATCGTCAAATGCTAATGGACTGGCAAGCCCCTGGTCGCTTGTTTAAATGTTGCATAAATGCCCTTTCGAATGCTGTCCTGGACGCCTGTTCTGAGTGTTGTTTCGATCAATTGCTGGTTTGAATGCTGATCAATTGCTGGTCTGAATGCTGATCAATTGCTGATCGATTGCTGAGATTGCTGACTGATTGCTCGTTAGAGTGTTTTTCTTTTCTTTGAGTGTTGTTCACGTGCCGTTCGAAAGTTGTTTGAATGTTGCTGGAGGGTTGTGCGCTGAAAAACTAATACTGAATTGCTTCCTTGAATGCAACCCGATTGGTATTGATCAACACTGACTCGCGGACCGTAGGTAACTGGACTGTACTCGTGGACGTGATAATCGTCTTTTCTATGATTGTCTCAAACTCGATGGCTGGTTTGACTGCTGTTTACGTCTTGCAAATGTATTGTATATCTGATTGGAACTGGTCAGTTTTTATCCCACTGTAGTTTGTCATTATCTGATACATGTTCACTTCTTTTGAGAGTAAGGATTGAACTCCTCTACTGATAACCACAGATAACTCTTCTTGCTCCCTCAATTGAACCTACGGTCGACAGAGTAATGTGCAGTTCTCCGTCTGTTCCATAGATGTAGAGAATGTACTCAACAGTTATCTGATCTCTCACTAATTTTAAAGCTTCCTTCATCATTGTCCTCATATGGTTGTGAAACTCATTAGTGACTATTCTTTCCCAACCTTCTGTCTTATCTTGATGCAACGTGCAAGTCTCTCTTACTGTAATACCACTTCCCTCCTTTCTGCAAGTACCCATTGCATTAGGGATGATAGACCGTATCCTTACGAGAAACAGCAACAACTGTTTTCAGATGGACATCTCGACCTGACTGATTATTCTGAGTAAGATGGTTTTCTCAGTCGCCCTCACTGACTCGGCTGCAGTGGGGTAATATACGTTTCAACCGCAATCCCTCTTCTGATGATGTCCAGAGGCCCCTCCTTTCCCTATTCCTCAGAGATCAGTCACGATGAGTTCAGGGAAAGTTTCGTAGTAGCTAGTCTGTCCACCAACCTCCCGTAAATCGCCTGATACCGGATTAGTAAGAAGGGGAAAATAATAACCGTTCACTGTCAACCCCAAATACTCGCTCCGAGGCTTAGGTTTAGAATAAGACAAATTATTGATGGCCTTGATGATCCCCTCTTCAGGTAAAGGACAGTCCTGAGTCTTAGTTTGTGCAGACGCTCTGCTCAGGGCGGAACACTGGATCCAGGACGTATGGGACCATCTATCCTCACTAGCAATATCAGTCTGCCATCGCACCTCATTCACTTTGCCAAAAAAACAGATAAACGGTTAACACTCGATAGCATCCAACGAAAACTCTTCTATATAATTTTGGGAGATTGATCGGATCCGATGGACTTGCTGAGCCCAGACAAAGAGACGGTCTGAGCTGACCACCTTATTCTGCTCGAGCCCCCTAACAGTGACAACCTCTAGACAGACTGTCATAAACGTCCAGCGTCTCAAGAGGTATCACTGACTTAAGGCCCCCTGGCCATTGGCACATAGCTTGCCGGCGAGCCACGAAGGAGGGGCCTCTAGGAGCAATAGAGTGATGCAGACTTTCAAGCCCAAAATAGTGTTGGGGCTTTTCTAATTTGAACTCGCTTTGCCACATCGGGCTACTATCAGGCTTTGCTGCTTCCCAAGAACAATCAAATAAGCTTTGGTTTTGCTTTCTTTTACGGGTAGATCACGATACAACACCAGGGGTATCAGAGTAGTTCCTTCACTCAGTCCGCAGAGAGCTCACTGATTCATGCTCCTAGTAGAACCTCTGGCAGGAGGGGGGGGTAACCTGCGCGCGGCTTTGTCTGGTCCAACTGTGTCGATTTCAGTTCATATCCAGCATTGAGTATCTGACTGATACCATTTTTACCTCCCCTTTTTCTGTTTTCTATGATGTAGTTTACAATTTGTATGAGTTGAGTGTGCAGTGTTTTTTACGTAGTAGAAAGTCGGGTTCGTAACGTCTGGACACACACAGCCTTCAAAGTGGCATTAACAGAACTCATACAGTTCATTAAACTCATGCTCAAGACTCCATCCTTTCCAGAAAATCTCCGGGCGTTTATTAAGGTAATATAAAAGGGCCGTTTGCTTTCACGTCATCCGAGATCAAGCCCTTAACACCTCTCTGAACTGTCTCGGAGAAAATTGACTGATCAAAACCTTTATTTATCTTATTAATCACCGTCCATTAAGTATTTTGCCAAAAGGTAAGTGATTTGCCGCAGCAGTTCCCGCCTTCTACCCATCAGTCGAAAACACGCATTGTGACAGAAGATTCGAGAGGCAGGCTTGGGTTGAGCCTTGCAAGATCAGTCAGTACTCTCCTTAGCCTTGCCTCAAAAATCAACGAATCATGCTAAGGCTTACCCCAGCTAAACTTTCACAGGGTTAGTCTCATCATCAATCAATCTTAATGCCGAGAGGAGGGTCTCCGGTCCGAACTATAGAACGGTACTCAACACTCTAATCACACAGAGTTTCCATAAAGAATCCTAACGAGGACGACAACAATCTCCGTTCACTATCTGACATTAAACGCAACTGTTGAGAGAAACTGAAACGGAGATCGTGAAAGAACAATCCAAGAGAGCTCTTTGGCAGCTCTACCTCCTAGCAAGCAAAAAGGAAACTGAAGGCATGAACTGAGTGAGAGCGGTTACATTCCTCGTAATAGAAACTGAAAGCCAACCTCTTTTCAATATTCCATTAAGTTCTCTTTCCATCTATACCTTACGAAACGACGCGTGTAAGATCACGCATGAACTGCAAGAGACAAAGTGTCCACGCTCTGATCGAGTCACAAATCACTTCTTACCCCGCTCGTATTTCGTCACTACAGAAAGGAATCAGCAATCAAGAATGAGATAAATGTCCTTCAATGCTTCTGGTAGCTACAACAAAACACTCGACGTGATAAGCACACGAGTGTCACTTCTATCGTCTTAGAGTAGATCAAGAGTCAAGTCTTGCACGTGCAGCGACGGGTGACGTCAACAACAAAACGTGGAACATGTCCTTCTCCCTCATCTTATCACCGTTCTGACGGCGTAAAGCCTCACACAGTGCCCGATCCAACTAGGCCTGCAGATCACCCCGCATGCCCGTTTATACGCATGTCCCCCCCTTTCTTGCGCGAGTCAGAGGAGTCCAATTCCATGAGCACTTCACTGTCGACAACCTCTGCACGCCAGCAAGATACAACACATTTGATAGAGTTAACGGTCATCAAAAGGACGCAAGCTGACCTCCGTGAAGCGTAAGGGAGAGTTTCCATGCAAATACGCAATCCTCTCGTGCACCCGACTGCGCATCACCCCTTTGCAACACACATCGTCGCATCTCTCTCTCGAGACAAAAATACACCTTTCAAGAAAGGGGAACAGACATCCCTCCCAGGATGGCAAACTAACACGCAAGAAACGGGGGCAAAGTCGACATCAACAACACTATGCATGTGAAACCTCTCTCCAACCTCCTCTCTTCTCTCACTCTTCTCTCTCTCCTGCCGACTGTAGTTGGCTTATACCTCACACAAGCGCGTAGGTAGCGGTTGTCGTCAACCACATTGCAAGCCTTCCCCTTGTCTCGTTCTTTGATCCTCTCTTGCCTTGCTTCCTTGGGCAGTCCACGCGTAGCTCGCGCCACGCATAGACCGTACACACTCGTAACCACCTCGCGCTTGTTTGTCTCCCCGCGGCTAGCCCACTCGTCTTGATCTTCAAGAGCGTGCCTAGTCACTCGTGCACCATGCCGATACTTCTTCCCCTCTGCATGAGCGTGCCACGTGTAGGCCGAGTACTCAGGTCACAGTTTCATACTCTGTCCCACTCTAAGAGCCCATTTGTTTTCCCACCTCTCTGACGAACGCGGTAGCCTCACGCTCTGCGCTCGTGCACAACCCGCTAGTTTTGACGTCAACCGCCTCACTCCCTCTCACACGCGTTGACTGCTCTCCATACGCACACCTGGGGCCGCTTTCAAGCAAGGCCGTCGTAGCTGCCTCACCGCATTGCCACACCTTGGCTATTGTCTCGCGCCCTCTTTTCTCAGAGCGCATCCCTCTGGCTTGCACGCGTGCTGACCTCTGAGTACACCCCCTTGTCGACCCCGTTGTCTGCCTTTGCCTCTACACGTGTCTTTTTCCTCTTTTCTTCTCCTCACCTGTCCCGCGGCCTCTGGGCGCCAACTGTCGAGAGCTGGCCTCAGGTCCCTCTTCCACCGGCTTCGCAGCTCGGTGATGCCTCTGGATCTCGCCTGGTCTATTCCAGGACCTGAGGTCCGTTTCCCGATCTCCTGCCTCGCTCATCTCACTCTCCCCACCCGAGTCCCGGTCCAGATGGGCCTGTTCCAGGTCCGCTGTGTCCATAGAGGTCTCGGCCTCATGATACGAGACCGTTACCTGCAATCTTGCAGTCACTCCGTCCCTCCTGCAGCGCCTCTCCACACGGTCTTTCGCCTCCGTGATCGCATCCTGCAGTTTTCCATCAGTCCGCATCTCCACCTCTTTAGCGCCTTCCACGTTAATCTTCATCCTCACTTCATCACCCCCATCGTAGTTGAGCATGACTGTGATTCAGGGCCCTTCCCCAGATATGGGTTTCCACCGGGCCTGGTGATACCAATTACCAGGCCTATAACCGTGCAACGCCATAGCCACTTGGAATAGCCAGCCCTCGTCCGGTAGACAGCGCAGCACAAACCGCCCACTTCCAATAGCATGCTACTCTTCTACCAGGGTTCGCAGTACAGCCTGTGTACCACTAGGCTACTGGCCGCGGATGATATCTCAACTCCCTCTTCCTTTTATAGGCCTGTCCCCTGCGTTCTGAACGAAGGACTCAGATTAGTCCTTTTCAGTCCTTACCGGATTTCAAATAAGTTTTTAAAATAAACCAGTAAATTAAAACCGAATAATTTTCAGAGAATAACACACATGCCGAAAACCCAATCGGTCGATCATGAACTAGCCTCGCTCTTGACAGTCCCAGATCCTAGTGTTATGGCAACAGGTTCGGCACTTTGGTCCCATAACGGGAAACCGACGATCGCATTTTCCCCTTTAAAATACAGCTTCTGTCTACTCCCATCGGGTACCTGTGTCTGATGGCAAGGAAGGGGCTTATGACCCTCCACGAAGGGGGTGATAAGCCTCCTATCGAAGCGGCCGCGGGTCGCCCTTCTTTTGGGGCTTCAATGCGCGGTGCTCAATCTGAGCCCGTCCAAAGACGGGACGCCTGGGGCCGACCAACTCAGGCTGTAGACCACAGCCAGACATTTGAACCGTTGGCTTTCCCGCGAAGTGACAGAAAACGAAAAGAGAAGCCGCATCCAAAAGCTGGTAGGGTAATAATAATAATAATAATAACAATAATAATAATAAAAGGAAAAGGGTGGCGATTCAAATTTCCTCCACGCCACAGCTCCGCCTGAATAGCGGTACAAGTCCACGCAGATCCCACTGTACCGGGCCTCCAATATAGCTAGGTCCTACTGCGCGGAGCTTAGATGCACAGACCCGGTACAGGTGATATTCAAAGGGTTAGGCCTGCCTCGGCCGCAATACCACCACCCGAACTAGAAACTCAAGCAGTTAGCCTCCTTACGAAGTGACGGAGACCGAGAATGAACCCGCTTCTGAAAATATGTAAGTTAATAATGACAGTAAAAATAGTAGGCGGACAGCTGTCGCCGGATTACTCTGGACTAAAGCAACAGTCGTGATCCGTGTACCGATCAGGTTTTCCATTTTCTTTTCTCTTTTTAATTTCATTTCCTTGTCCCCATCCTTTAGGTGTTTTTCTTGCACCTGACCCATAACCTAGCAGAAGGGCATTCAGCGCGCAGTAGAAAAGACTGCGCCAGCCCCTTCGCTCTCGCGTCCCAGGGCGAGCCCGGCGACTACCACCACGGCCACAGACCGGTAGTGCTCTGCTGTACAGCAGGGCGCCGAGCCTGCGTGGACCAATGGAAAGTCCTGCAGCGCACCTTTTTGCTGAGGCCGGCGCCAAGCAGGACCGGTCCACGTCATGGTACAGCCCAGGTACCAAGTGTCATAGTGTTTCGGGAATAGCTACAGATCGCAGCACTAAAGCTGAGGGTGGTACCAAGTAGGGACTTGGTACACGGAGGAGGGCCGGGACACCGCGCCCTCCGACAACGCGTCACAATAACGCGCTCGCATACTAACAAAATTTTCTCACCGATCTGCCCCTGCCTCAATGGCCGAGGAATTCGTTTCAAGTGTCACGCCAAAGCAGGCACACCCTTTCCATCCCAGACTGGCTCCGTCATGGTAGCCAACATCGTCACTGTGTCGAATGCAAAAGCATGGCCAAATACCCTTGTAAGGGTATTTGGTCCGACACCGCCATATGAGGAAGTGAAAGTGGACTACGACATGTGTTGTCCGCGTTAATCGTGCCTAGTGCTTATGGAGGTCGTCAGTCCACATGAAGGTGAACATCATCACAACTGCATTCAGAAGTGGCAAATTTTATTTTCGATGAGCGTGTGAAACGAGGAGGAACAGCCATCTGCCTCATACCGTAAATAACGAATATCGAAAACGCTCTGGGCAGACAATAATGACAGCACCAAAAAAAAAAGAATTTTTCACATATCGACCGCAAGCTTCTGAGCGTTGAGCTAGCTAAGACGCAAAAACGAGTTAGCTAATTCATCAGCTAATATATTACCAAATAATCTAAAGCTTAATGAGAGTGGTTTAGTAAAATCCTCTAAAATATTTATCGGTAATAAAATTGGAGTTGGTTTAATATAGTTTCCAAA